GCTGTGGTGCTCCCACTCCCTAGCCGGCGCTTGCAGGGGGGGGCACCGGTGCTCCCGCCTGCCCCCCCCGCCCATCTCCTTTTTATGGGGAGCACGGGCTGCCAGGGGGTGCATGTGCACCCCCTACACATCGCCACTGGATCATTGCAACTCGGAACCCTTCCTGCAAAGCATTCTCAGTTACAGCGGGAAGCTGCACTTTCGCTGACACCCAAATCTTTGGAAATGTTAGAAAATTGCAAGAGGAAATTACACAAAATAAACTACTGTTCCAAAACCAGGAAAGGACAGCGTCTTTCAATGAACATGGCTTGCAACTGGCTGATGCCTGAAAAGAACAGAAATTCATTCTCTTCCCATAACAAACCTGTGCAAACATTATCAACCTGCTAAAACAGTGGCGGCCCCATGAAGAATTGGCAATGCAGGTCTCTCTTCTGGCCACATCAAACTAACCTAGGACAGGCCCACAAAGGAAAATGGAACAGAGAGGGTCAGGTGTTGATGCTAATGGAAGTGGGAGCCTTGAGAAATAGGTTACTAAAACATAGGATCTCCAATGATGCAACTATTTTTATTTTCTAAACTTTACACCTCTATAAATTGAAACGGCTTCTGGCCTCCTAAAACGAGAATGAGTGCAGACAAAGAAACATTTGCGTAACTGATTTCATTTGATCTTCACTCAATGGTCTAATCGATGTCATTTCAATTTAAAGACTCTTCTGAGTCTTAGACTGTATCTGGAATAATTCATGGCATTTTTGCTTCCCACCATTCTTAGGGTATATCTATACTAAAGTCATGAAGGCAACTACAACTCAAAGTAAATAAATCCATCTAGCTTCAAAGTACAGCTTGGGTATTGCTAGCAGCACAGCAATTTTCTAACATGTCCACAAGTATGGTCTGCTGTGGTAAGCAACTCCTACTAGCTCAGCATGTAGATGTACCATTAAAGATGCTTGGTGTGAAGCAGAATAGAGTAAATGCTACGAGGCATTTGCTCAAATGCACTAAATTATGAAGATGTATGGAACAGAAGCTTCCAGAAGACAGTAAGAAGTACAGAAGAAAACTGGGAAACAAGTAATGACTGAATTGAGCCCTCCAAATTTATGGAAAATGTGAAGGCTGAAGAGGTCAGTGTGATGCAGCTTACACCAAGTTTTTCAAGACCTCCAGCTATGCATGAAACCCTAAGGTTTGAGCTACAGGATTAAGTCCCCAACCAGGCACCTGAGGCAGCTCAAGAACAACTTTTTGGTCCATTTGAATTGAGACATGTTAGAACCTCACAAATACTGGAAGCAAGTGAAGAATGGGGGATGGCTACCATGTTGGCTAATACACAACACGCCTTTGACTTCAGGAATTAGGGTCACAACCTGGCTCAGAGGGCAAAACTCAGTAACTGATGATCAGCCCACTGCACAAAGTTCCACCATTTTTATCTTCTGCTCTAGGATGGATAAAGGCTTTGCACACAAATTTCTGGTGTGTGAACATTGTTGGGAAGCCTAAACACTATTCATTTTAATTCCAGTCCCTGCAGCTTTCAGGACACCTACAACTGTAATGGGTCTCTATGGAGAGCTTCATTTTCTGAGACCCTTGCACAACATCTGCAAAGCACGGTTCATGACTGCTTCCCTCACTATGGGTTGGGTACTGCTTTGCATCCTGACTGAATCCTAATGTGCCCAATAAAGCTCTGTTTATTTTAGCTTGGGATCTTTCCATAAACCTGTTTTGATGGGCAGAGCTCCTTCTCCTATGCTTTGGTGTCTTTTCCATTTAAGAGTAACAAACTTAAAAGATTTTAAAATAAATAAATAAATGAAACAGGAAACTCTCATGGCTTCAAGATCTCACTTTCTGGAGGGAATTTAGGACAAGAGACAATACTAACAAATACAATTTGTACCAGACTTTAAAGCCTACATACTCAAGCCAATGATCACACACATACACAAATTCATGCTGTGAATTCTCTTATGAGCTTGCTGGAGGTAACACAAGAAAGCTTGTACAGAGCCCTACACTCTCTTTTCTACTATATTAATATTATCCTGGTATTTACTTTTGTTATGTCCTTGAACATACAGCCTTAGCTCTCCACCTAAAATAATGTGCATACAGCTCAGTTCCCAGAAAGAGACTAAGCAAGCTGCAGATTTTAAGTTTAGCTTCCCACCTACAATTAATAAAAGTCAACAAACTTCAGAAGCAGTTTTGCAGTCTTCAGAACTGCATTTGACCTGCAACAATAGTCACTCCCTGGATATATTAAGCTGCCCTTACAGAAAATAGTGGTTCCCTCACCATGGAAGCTGTGCAGCAGGCAATTGGGAATGTGAACTATGCACCTAACTGCAGGGGGTTGTTGCATGTGCAAGGTTTGCAGGAGCACTAAATAGGCCAGGCGAAAACACACATCTGAAACCAAAGTAAGAGAGAGAAAAGGAAGAACAAAGAAACCTCACATTGGTTTCTTTAATGTATACAACCGTAAACATTTTCTGAGGTTTATTGGTTTGAAACGTTTTTTGTGGTCATGTAACTAAAATATAAGCTTTGATTGAAGAAACGGAACTTGGCAAGGACAGAATTCCTAAAGCAGCCCGTTCACTTGTCCCTTGTTTGAAGGATTAAAAATAAAGGTTTAACTCTGACAATCCACTTTGTTCTAGTGCAGGAACTGATCTATATTCATGCAGGTCCCGATCCAGCCAATTATTTGCTTAACATTCAGCATTTAAGTAATCCCATTGACTTCTTGCATGCTTCAACACATGTTAAGTGCTTTGCTGAACTGGGACCGCAATCAGATTTGGAGTGCCCCTTAATGAGGATTTACACATTAGGAGGAAAGGTCTCCAGAAAGGCCACTGTGGCCTGTATAGAAAGCTAGTCATCCACCTTCTTGATCAGTATATTTTTATTTAACTTTGTGTTTAAGTAAAAACCACACCACACACAAAGAAAGAATTCACAAGTTATGTCAAACAGAACATTACAAAACTGGCTCAATCTGGGAACAGCAGAGTGAAGCCAGGACTCTTTACTCTAACTTGCTCAGTTTAGATATCATAGACAGCAGCATATAATCCCCCTGGGGTGCAAAAACCACTTCAGTGTTTAACCTCAACTCTGAATGTTCTTACTTGTTTTTCACTCAGGCCCAGTTCTTCTCAACTCCACCAAGTTTCAGTAGTACTATTCTGAATTTTCAGTGGAAGAAGAGAGTTTAATTTGGACCTTTAAGATTTAACAGTGTAAGACATCTTTTGGCAGCTAATCATCATTACTAGCATCAACTAAGAAGAAAAAGATTTCCTTTCCACCCTGGAAGTGAGATGCATGATACAGTAAGGAGGAAAAGATTTACTACAGAAATACCAAAGTTACCCCATGCCCAACTACAGCAAGAATGTCAATTTTATGTATGTTAAGTATCTTGATTTTTCTTTAAAATGAGCCTAGCACACTATAATTGGGAGTATTTGCTCCTGGGGCCAAATAGTAAAGGTTTGGGATGCAGGAGAAACGATTGGCAAAGCTATAATGGAATAATGATTCTGCTGTAGTTGTGCCAGTATAACTCCCCCATGTGGACACTATTCCAGATTAAAATTGACTAATGATTATTCTGCTTTGCCTTTGACAATAGATTTCTCCATGTCTACTAGGAAAGCCCGCAAAGCCTCACTTCTACAATGAACAAAAGTCAATTTCCCACCGACAAAAATTAAGCATTCTGCCTAATTAGGGGCTGCAGGAATAGGCTCATGGTAATCACTTTGATGTTCCTTCTAGCACAGCAGATGTTACCAGGAGCTTGTCTATCAAGAAAAGCTGCACTGGATCTAAAATATAGGAGTGGTTTTAAACTGTTTTAGCAAAAACAGTGCCAAAAATCTTGTGTGGATAATCCAATGAATGAAGAAGGCTATTTGTGCCCAAAAGCTTGCAAAGAATAATGTTTCTAACTATTTACTTGGTCTAATAAAATATATCACATTTACTCAAAGAACCTTGTGTGGACAATTAAAATGTGAGTTTAAACCTAGAAAATTTTAGTTTGACTTAAGCAAATTGAGAATCTTTAAACAGTCCAAAAGAAGAAAGTCCACACTGGGGTCTCCATCTACTTTAAAACTGATGAATGGGGAATGGGGAATGCCCCATATAGACAGTGCCTAAACTAATCAGGTTCTCTCTCACCAGGATTCAAGGGTTCCCACCAGACACAGATGTGAGGCCCTGCATCCTACCATGGAGATAATTAAAGAATGAGACACACAGCCAGACCAGCGTTCCACCAACAGGGATTTGGGGAGTGCGGGAAAAGACATGATCCCTAGTAAGCTCCTTGCCAGGAGAGAATGCACAGGAGAGGGAGGCTCCCTCCTCAACAGAGCTGGAGAATCTATTTCAGCACCAAAGAAACAATCCCCCTTAACATCTCCCAGTGTGTTGTCAAAACTGACCTGTGTGAAATTTAAGAAGAGAATGGATATAAATCAAAGGGGAAAAAGTAATAAAAAACTCCCGGCAGACTTGATGACATGTTGATAATGTTCTCGTCCTGGAGTCAGGGTGACACCAGCCCGAAGATGATATATAGAACTAAGCCCACATACCAACGATTTACTGGCCGAACGACAGTTTTCATTGATCAGAGGCCAACAATTACTGGATCCCATCCCGCTGCCTATTTCAGTATCAGGCTCTGGCTTACAATCAAAACACTAGCCCTGCTTCTCTACAGTTCATGTGCCAACTTTGCACTGGATGCTGAAGCCAAGCAAGAATGATATGCAAATCTGGCAGGTGTTTGGGGCATACCAATGCTGCTCACAAGCCCAGACATAAAAAAGGAAACAGCAGAAAGGCTAGGGGAGTCCCGATCTGCTGCAGAGAAGCTGCAGGCTCTGCATAGTATACAATAAACAGGTCCCAGAAACAGGAGACTTAGCTTTCAGGCAGTAACACAAAAGCCCAATTATTTTTGCTCAGTATAATCACACACGTTCTTTATATACCCTCCAGATTGTTTGAACGTTTCTCCTGCCATTGAAGCTCATATCAAAAGGGGCAAGAACTTACAGTAAACAAATAAACCAATGATACTGGTACCAATCACAGAAGGATTTTTTTTTTTTTTTTACGTAGGAAGCCAACAGAAAAAGATTCCTTTCCATGTGTATGGAAAATGCATGCATCAAGCTTAATTGATATCTGCAAGGACACATTCATAGCCATGATTAAACTTTTGGAAGAAGATGAGTCAATGTGGGAAAAGGTGTTGGCAAATAAATGTGTTTCCAGTATGTTGTATTCTCTCACAGACAGCCAAGATCACGTAATATGTCCTGGTCTGTTGGTAACTACCCGTGTACACTACACTCAGCACTATGAATGCTATGAATCTCCCTGAACATCCATCCATCACTGCTGGGACCCAAACAAGTATTGGAAAGAGCTCCTGTGAAGTAAGGTCCCAGTTCAAGAAAGGACTTAAGTGCATGCCTAATTGTAAGTATCACATACTTAATGTTTGGCAAGCACTTAAGTACATTGCTGAATCTGGGCCTACATGAAGAGTGATATTACACTATCCCATATGTCACATCTTTCCTAACCTAATGACATGAATAAAATACCTGTTGCTTTTTTTCATAAATTGTTTCTCTAAATACTGACTTAGCCAAGGCTCAAAGTAGAAAGAAAAACAGCTCAGGAGTTTAGAAAGTGGAATTTAATAAATTCCAGAGCTAGAAATATTTTTCAGGTACAACACCAACTCTCCAATCCTACTCCAATTTGAACGAGGATTTTTCCTCCAGCCACATTTCCAGTCTTTTCTGTCTTAGGCCAAGTGTTTTATCCCATTTGACAAAAGGGGAATGTGCCTGACTCTGAAGTGAAAATGATGAAACTGACTATCCACAAACTGCTGACAAGCGCATAGCCTGAAAAGACAGGACGTTTCCATTTTCTCTGATGTTCCTGTGACAGCAACGGTGCAAGTATTACTTGTAAAAAAAGGATGAACAACATTGCAGGCAGAAGCCTGACTTTTAATCTCCATGCAAATCCTGCGTTCATGAAACACAGGCAGCGTGGAAGCCCCAGAGACTGTAATCCTGTGCCTATCCAGGAGTACAGAGTTGGGAGTAGCAGGGTAACACTTTCCTCGCAATTCTCATCTCAAAGTTTAACCTAAAGAATCACTCAAGGTGGTAATTAAGACTCCATACCTAGCTTCTCTGTACTATGAATGTTGAGCAGTGCTTATTAATCATAATGAAGTTTAGGTGATTCAATTAGGGATCCATTATACCAGGCTCTGTACAAACACAAAGCAAGGGTTTACTTTATGCACTTTTAAGGCACAGAGTTCTTCTGGTCGCTAGGTACTCAAATGGAACCCCAAAAGTTATTTAAAATAAAGAGCATTCAGATAAAAATGACCACCATGCTGAGCTGAAGTTTTAGAGAGAAGAAACTCTGCATACTTTTATTACCAACTGCAAGAAACACACAGTTCCCCAGGGCATCACAACTTTAAAAACAAAAATTGAAAGCCTTTTGCCTAATGCGGGCAGATTGCTGACTGCGACAATGCTGCCTTTTCCAGACCAGAGAAATTAACAGAGTGGCAGAATGTCTGCAGACTCACAAGTATACTAGTATTTCCTTCTCAGGAATGGGTGACGTCCTCAAGGAATGCATATGTCTTTCAACCCCCTTCAGTCTCAGCCCCTATCTGCATTCTGAACCTCTTCAGTTGATAAAACCATGTATTAACAGGAGCCACAACTGTAAAACAACTTTCTCTTCAGACTTTATTCCCCCAATTCAGTATGGAACTGCCAGTCTCTACCTGTCCAAGTACTGATACGATCAGTAAGGACCGACCATGGAAAGCATTCTCTACTATTAGCTAGGATGAAGAACTAGTGATCTTCAAAACTTCTAGAACTAGTGCAAGGCACTGAGCTAGGAAACCTTGGCTCTCACTCAGCCCATCTGTAAAACAATGAAAGTGCCTACCCATGTTATACGAGTATTAGGAAGAATACTTTCAAGTACATCAGGATGAGCACTGTATCATTACTGTATTTTTTCTGGCCAATTCTGAGTACATTTTAAAGCCCACACCAAGCACTGAGGGTTTTTCATATTTCCCCTCCCCTTCCTTTGCATTTTTCTTTTCTGCTTCTTCTGGTGTTTAGGTAGTCTGGTGTTCATCAGCATGCCCTTCTGGTCAGGCATCTGTTTCAGCTTCATCTGCTCTGTGAAATAAGGTTCTCAAGTTCAAAGAGTCCAAATTATTACCTGAAAAGAGTTCCTAGATTAGAACATCTGCAGCCACTAAGTCAGCTGGCTCCTAAATATAATACCATAGAAGTAATCTGTGTATACAAGGCTTGAAAAAGTTTATCCTTTATCTACTCACTTGAAGAGTAAGCCTACTAACCAGGGCAAGAAACACTCTTAAAACCAATAGACTTCTAGAGGCCTTGCCCTGTAATTAAAAATAATAAATTTCAGCTGTATGCTGGTCATCGTGAACTCAATTCGATTGTCCAACTCTTTCAATCCAGTTTCTAATTAAAACATGTTCTTAAATATTACTTAGAGTTGAGATTATTTGCTCCTGAGAAGGCATTTTTAAGTCCTTAGTTTTGTTTTGTTTTCTGGTGGTTGTTTTTTTGGGGGGGCTGGGGGGGACAGCATCAGCAAAGGGCACACGGAGCAACAGCATTCGGAAGCCTAGCATGGCCATTTGAGACTGTAATCTCCCACGATTTATTCCTGTACCTTAAATAACACTGGAAACAACAAAAACATTATACACAATCTTGCTTTCTAATTCTCCCATTTAGATCTTTGCCTTTTCTGCGATTAGGGTTCACTCTTTTTGTGCACGAGATGACCAGCATTTGTGTCCGTCCAATGAATTTAATCATGCCAGATAGATCATAAACTTCCTAAAGTTCCAAGAAATAAATTTGAGACAGACCCAAATGAGGTACATGAGAAAAATAGCTGTTTAAAAAAAACCCTGGGATTCATTATTTCAGCTTGAATAGCATACAGGACCACATATCGATGAACTCAGCTTCATGATTCCCACAGTTGATGTCAATAGTTAACAATAGAAGCCAGAGAAACAGCACACCTGTATGGAATGAAATAAATGGAGATCTAAAATGAGGGATAGTCAAGACATGAAGACAAGGCAATCTGCAATTAAGATCATTCAGGTTTCTTTTTACTGAGTAGGTGCAGGTTGCATGCCGGGATGATCTCTGCAAGTGACTGCAAAGGAGCGGACAACTTTTCAAGAATCTCCAAAATGTCCAAGTAACACTTGAATAAAAGGTATTTAAAAATCCTTCTCATTCTTGCCTTGACAGCATCTGACAAAGCAAGTTTTTCCACACGATTGGAGAGAGAGAGAGAGAGAGAGAGAGAGAGATTTTCCTCTTATTAAGTACCCATATCATCAGATGCATACAGTTGGAAGATCTACATTTCTTGCAACCTGCCAGCCCAAAAAGCAGTTAAACTCTCCAGCAAGTGGTGGGGCTGCAGTTATATTTAGCCAGTTCAGACAGAAACTGCTCTTGCAGTCTTCAAAAGGCATATCAGGTGCTGGTGCCTATTTTTAAAGGGACGTCTAAACTTCCCAAGTGTAGTGACCTGTAGGTTTGGACACTGCTTTTAAAGGACTGAGCTAATTAACTGCAGGTCCACAAAAAAAAAAAAAAAAAGAACTTCAAAGAGGAAAGCCAGGCTATGATAAAGGCTGCTGAAGATCACAGGAATTGGAGCTCCTCCTACTTCAAACACAAGTATCCAGAAAAGGATTTTGCTTATCTTTGCCATTAGTATACTGGCAAGCCTGCACCCTTGTCTTTCCTGCAATTAAGTGACATCACCTTCTGCTCAAGAAGCTATCAAGTACCTATGGGGTTGATACTGAAGTGAAAAGTTAGTCTGCATACATACAATTTTTTTTCTTGGTTCCAAAATGATACCTTTTATTAGACCAACTGGAAAATGGCAAGAAAATTGTCCTTTTCTGCAAGCTCTCGGGATCAAAGTCCCTTCGTCAGGCTCTGGGAAAAGTGTAGATGGTACAAGATGGTAAAAAGTCCCCATTGGTAGGAATAGTCTGCATACAAACACTTGCCCTAAAACCATTAATGTAGCTTAATAACACTGTATCAATAACAGTAACAATCATTATTGAGAACTAAATTTATATTAGTAATGTTATATTTATAATATTTTTTCATACTTTCCTTCAAGGATTTCAAAGTGCTTAACAAATATGAGCTAAACCTTACAAATCCTCTGGATTATAGTCAAAGGTAGGCAAAATGCGACAGCAGGAAATTGAGCACAGAGTAAAGGGTGATACAAGAGGCACTAGAATCCAGGAGTCCTTTTACAACCCAACCTCTGTCTGATTACTCATCAACAATCTCTTCCATATTATTTGTACCCTCTGCCCTATCTGTGCATACTGAAGTGCATGCCACATGCACTGTACAAGATGTATTCACTATCTTGTCACCCCTGAGCTACTCCGAAAACAAAATGATGGCTTAAAGTTGTTCAGGTGATGTGAGTAATTTTTCTCTCCTGCTGCTGACTGAGTGCACTGCACACTTATAATCTAATGAAACCGTTCCTTTAACCAATGCTGCAGTGGGAAAAGGAAGGATTTTCTCTCTCCGTTCAATTTAAAATGA